GGAGGAAAAATATTTGGGATGGGATCCTTGTCAAGGATGTACAAATCGAAGGTTGGTGCAACTTCATCCTCCAATGCAGCTGTTTCAAGGAGGACACGACGTGAGGAGCATATAACCCAAGAATTGAGCCAACTGAAGCAGTTGCTTGTACAGAAGGACGAAGAAACGAAGTATTTACTTGGACAGAAGGACGAACAAATAAGGGTGATGCAACAACAATTGCAAATTGTCATGCGACATCTCGACATCGATCGCAATGAGGTTCCTCCTCTACCTCATATTAATCCAATTGATGATGGGCATAATGCTGAGCCACAAAATGATGCGGCGAATGGTGATGGTGATGATGATGATGATGATGCTGATGATTTTATTGTCAGTCCTTTCTAGTTCATTCTCGAGTACCAAAACTGCCAACGTTTTTATGATTGTCCCGCGTTCTTTCAATGTTTTGAATGTATTACCTGATGTTCATTAGTGCTTAGCTGCCTCTTCGTATTATGAGATTGAAAATCGAATATCATCATATGAGACTTTGCAACTTATGCATTGTAGAAATTAATATTGCTTTCTTACCAAAAAAAAATTAATATTGATAATAATTAGATTTAAAATCGAAATTATCGCTAAACAAAATTCGTCGCAAACTTAGCGACGAATTTTGTCACGAATAGCTTTCGTTGCAAATTACCAACGAAAATTGAATTTTTTTGATGAAAAAAAATCGAATTTCCAACGATTTTTGCATCGAATAATTAGCGTCAAATTTTGCAACGTATTTTCCCACAAATGTTGTTTTCGTTGGAAATTACCAACGAAAATTTTAACTTTTTGGATGAAAATTTCGCGGATTTCCCACGATTTTTTGCAACGAATAAGGACGAAAATTTATATATTATTTTTCCAACGAATTAAATTTTCGTCGGAAATTACCAACGAAACTTGCTATTTTTTGTCGGAAAAAATTGCGATTTCCAACGAATTTTTTTTTCGTTGGAAATTAACAACGAAAAATTTTTGTCGGAAAAACCCCACATTTCCAACGATTTTTTTTTTCGTCGGAAATTAACAATGAAAATTGTAATTTATTGTGGGAAATATTCGGGATTTCCAACGAATTTTATTTTTGTCGGAAATTACCAACGAAAATTCGTTTGTCGGAAAAATTCGAGATTTCCAACGAATTTTTTTTTCGTTGGAAATTAACACGAAAATTGTTTGTGAGAAAAATTCCCGATTTCCAACGAATTTTTTTTTCGTCGGAAATTACCAACGAAAATTGTTTGTCGTAAAAGTTCGCAATTTCCAACGAATTTTTTTTCGTTGGAAATTCAAAACGAAAATTGTAATTTCGTGTGGGAAATATTCGAAATTTCCAACGAATTTTTTTTTCGTCGGAAACTACCAACAAAAATTCGTTTGTCGGAAAAATTCGAGATTTCCAACGAATTTTTTTTTCGTTGGAAATTAACACAAAAATTGTTTGTGAGAAAAATTCCCGATTTCCAACGAATTTTTTTTTCGTCGGAAATTACCAACGAAAATTGTTTGTCGGAAAAATTCGCAATTTCCAACGAATTTTTTTTTCGTTGGAAATTCAAAACGAAAATTGTAATTTCGTGTGGGAAATATTCGAAATTTCCAACGAATTTTTTTTTCGTCGGAAACTACCAACGAAGATTGTTTGTCGGAAAAATTCGGGATTTCCAACGAATTTTTTTTTCGTTGGAAATTAAAAACGAAAATTGTAATTTCTTATCGGAAATATTCGGGATTTCCAACGAATTGTTTTTTCGTCGGAAATTACCAACGAATGATTTTTTCGTGGGAAATTAAGAACAAAAATTGTTTGTCGGAAAAATTCGCGATTTCCAACGAATTATTTTTTCGTTGGAAATTAAAAACGAAAATTGTAATTTCTTATCGGAAATATTCGGGATTTCCAACGAATTTTTTTTTCGTCGAAAATTACCAACGAAAATTGTTTGTCGGAAAAATGCGGGATTTCCAACGAATTTTTTTTTCGTTGGAAATTAAAATCGAAAATTGTAATTTCTTTTCGGAAATATTCGGGATTTCCAACGAATATTTTTTCGTCAGAAATTACCAACGAAAATTTTTTGTCGGAAAAATTCGGGTTTTCCAACGAATTTTTTTTTTCGTTGGAAATTAAAAACGAAAATTGTAATTTCTTGTCCGAAATATGAGGGATTTCCAACGAATTTTTTTTCGTCGGAAATTACCAACGAAAAGTTTTTGTCGGAAAAATGGGGGATTTCCAACGAATTTTTTTATTCGTCGGAAATTAACAACGAAAATTTTTTGTCGGAAATATTCGGGATTTCCAACGAATTTTTTTTCGTCGGAAATTACCAACAAAAATTTTTTTTGTCGGAAAAATACGGGTTTTCCAACGAATTTTTTTTTCGTTGGAAATTAAAAACGAAAATTGTAATTTCTTTGCCGAAATATGAGGGATTTCCAACGAATTTTTTTTCGTCGGAAATTACCAACGAAATTTTTTTGTCGGAAAAATTCGGGATTTCCAACGAATTTTTTTTTTCGTTGGAAATTATCACCGAAAATTATTTTTCGCAAAAATTCGCGATTTCCAACGAATCTTTTTTTCGTTGGAAAGTAAAAAAAAAATTGTTTTTCCGAAAAATTCGGGATTTCCAACGAACTTGTTTTTCGTCGGAAATTACCAACGAGAATTGTATTTTTTTGTCGGAAAATTTAGCGGATTTCCGACGATTTTTGCAACGAATATTTTGCAACGAATTTTTCCAACGATTTTTAGCGACGAAATTTGCCACGAATTAATTTTCGTGGGAAATTACCAACGAAAATTCAAATTTTTTTTCGTCACTAATTTCGTTGGAAATTACCAACGAATTTTGCCACGTTTTTTCCAACGAAGTATTACCAACGAATTTTCCAACGAATTTTCCAACGAATGTTTCCCACGAATATTTCCAACGAATTTTTCCAACGAAATTTTTCCAACGAAAAAATTTCGTTGCAAATTACCAACGAAAATTTAAATTTTTTGTCGGAAAATTTTGCGACGACTAATTACCAACGAATTTTTTTTCGTCGCAAAATTCGTTGGAAATTCGTTTTCCAACGAATTTTGACGAATTTTTCGTTGGAAATTTCGTTGGAAAACTCTTGTTTTTTTGTAGTGTAAAGCAATACCAAAAACTCATATTTTCAAATCCACAATATCATATACATATCATATCAAATATGAGTTATCTTCCTTTCACAAAATTTGATACAAACTAGAAAATACTCATTTAAATCAATAATATCAAAGTAAAAATCAATGGTCCATTCCATTGGCCAATCTCATCGAAAAACACATGCCAATGGTCCATTCCATTGGCCAATCTCTTCAAAAGCACACGTCAATGGTATATTCCATTGATGAATCTCATATCACATCACATGTCGATAGTCCATTCCATCGACCAATCTATTGCTCAATATGAAACTATGATCACGCATCTCGCCCCATGATAAGGCGACCAAGATTCCCCCTTGGCAAGGTTTCCACGTACTATAAGCCGGTGGCTCGGCCCACAAGGATATCCTAGACTAGTATGCGCATACCCATAAGCCCCCCAAATTTGCTCACAGCGATATTGAGCACCAACACACATCCTCCAATAATTGACAATACCAAATCCATAATAAGTCTCATAATCTACAATCAATATCATCAACTGATTTCACAAAACAAAATACATAATCTTTCTCAACTTCGTTTGTCAAACCGAACGCATTTTACAAGACATTTCTCACATCATTTCAAAATTCTTCATAAATCGATATGTACGTAACGTTGTTCATAAAACGTTTCTCAAATCATTAAGAACTCATTCCATAAACTAGTTCGCAACATAATACATATATATCTGTTCGCAATATATCTTAAAACCATTCTCGAATTTCTCAAATCGTTCTCAAATATCAAAAGGGTAGTAATTGCCCGATCCAGAATTTTATGCAACAAACATGCTTTAGTAACTTGTACGATACTCAAATTCTTATTACTTTCAAAACATGAGTTTATAAATTCATAGAAGAGATGACACCACTCACCTGGAATGCCTCAAAACCAAATAACGTGGCCAAACGCGTCGATGATCTCGTAATTCTATCAATTGAACAAGAATCGACATTAAAACCAAGTAAAATACTGAGATAATTACTAAACGGCTAAACGACACTTAAACGCTAACAAGACAACTCAAAGACGCCCACAAATTGCTCATCCAAAGCCATTATCCAAATCGTCCGCAACGCGGAATTTGAGCGCAAAAATTGATCGCGTCATAACTTTCTCCATCGAACTCCGATCCTAGCAAACTTATAGTCAAAAGAAAGCCCGTTCCGAGTATTACAAAAGCCCCAACTTGGCCGTCCCAAAATCGAGCCGAAAACCGACGAAAATCGGCCTAAAGCCCACTGGTCGCGCACTGTTCACCTTGTACGGCCAACTTCAAAAATTCATATTGGGCAAACCGTAGATCCAAATCAAGATCCGTAAGATCCTACGGCTTCACAACACCACAAACTATTAATTATATATATATACACAGCTTAATGACTCAAAAATCGGATTTCACCGCACAAATCCCAAATAATTCCGAATTTCAAGCCCTAAATCCGAAACTACCCTGATGGAACGAACGAGGGGTGCAAATACATACCGGGCGTAGCTAATCGAAGTCGAAACGGCTTGGCGAGTCATCCGGATCATGAGCGCGCTAAATTTTCCCTTCTCCCCCCTTTCTTTTTTCTTCTTTCCTTTCTTTCGTTCTTTTCTCTCTTCTTTTCCTTTCTCCCTGAAAGGTCTCGGTCCTCTTTTATAAATTGAAGTCCACTGTAGCAAATGTTGACTTTTCAACATTTTTGACATTTTGACCTTTTTCTTTTCTTTTTTTTTAAATATTACAGAAGTGCAGGCTCATCCTGAAGTGCAGGTTGGGATTATGGCGAGGCACCGGAATCTGATCCAATTACTCGGCTTTTGCCATTCAACGGAACCACAAAAACCTGTCAAGAAAAGAAAGGCAAGAACAGAACCGGTAGAGTACCTGCTGGTATATCCATTGGCGGTCAACCGAGATGTGGCTTCCCAGTTGACAGAGCGCACTGCATTGCAGCGGCCTCTCGATTGGCCTACCCGGAAGCACATTGCCTTAGGAGTAGCAAGAGGGCTCTCGTATCTTCACGAGGATTGCAGTCTTCAGATAATTCACTGCGACATAAAGCCTTCAAACATTTTGTTGGATGAGAACTTCGAACCTCTCATTGGGGACTTCGGCTTGGCAAAATTCAGGAATCACGGCGATTGGAACCAGCAGATCCAGAAGTCGAAAAGTGCCGGGGCACCACACCAGATGGCTGAAACTGAAGCAGTGAACAACCAGGAGAGGCCCTTTTTGGCTCTGGAAAGATCAGCAGAGTTATACTATACCTCTCGAATATGTGGTACATATGGATATATTCCTCTGGAGTTCCTGAAGCAAGGGGAATTCTCGGTAAAGAATGATGTCTTCGCATTTGGGGTGGTGCTCCTTGAGCTCATCTCTGGTTTGAGGGCACTTGATTTTTTGCAGCATCGACCCACAAAAAGAATCAATGATATTAAGCGGGTGAAAGATATTCTGGAACATAACGAGTTGGGATGTCTGATCGATCCGAACTTGAGCAGAGACTACGATGAGAATGAGGCTAAGACATTAGTCAAACTGATTCTCTTGTGCATTCAAGATTCACCAACAAAACGACCCACAATGCCGGAGGCAGTCCAAATTCTCAAAGGAAGCAGCTTAGTTGACAGATGGGAGAGTGAAAAAGAGGAGATAGTACTTGATTTCTGGCAAGTTGGTTTTCAATCTGGCAGCACTGTCACTGACTCTGCATCTCATCTTGATCCAGTGGAGCTATCAGGACCGAGATGATGTCTTTGTCCCCGAAGCGAGCAGCCTTAGCATTATGAATTAATTATAATCACGCACTAGTCGAGAAACGTGCGCTTACTTTTTCTCTAGAATTCTTTCAATGTGTTGTTGTCATTATTAGAATGTGTCATGAGTTTGAGCCCAAAGTAAAAATCTAAAATTCAGAAATAAATAAATAAAGAGGAAAAATTTGAGACCAAGTTTTGGAAATTGCTTCAAGTCCACTTCAATATTTTTCACGTTGGAGTCAAGGTGGAATAGAACTTTGACTGTGAAAAGAAAACAATAAAGAAAAGGAAAGTGTGGACTTGTTGATTGGGGCAAAGAAAGAAAAGAAGAAACAAAAAAAAAGGAAATAAAATCCTTGTTTGAGTCGGCAAAGGTTCAGACGGTTTTGCATATATATATTTTGCTCATGCATTGATTTTGGCACCGTTGTTAATAAGCTTGAGCTGTGGGTAATTACATCCAAGCGTCTTCTTCATGCGTGAGATTGGAGAAACAAAAATACGAGTGATTTGGCCGAGAAATTCTTGTGTTAAGATTTTGTTATTTTCTTCGTTAGTTGAAAGATTATTTTGTAAGGAATTGCGGGGCTAAACACTAAGTGAGTTATTGAGTATAATTAAGGGCTATAAAACACCGAGAGTAATTAAGTAACTCGAGTGTGGTTGTAATCTCCATTGTATCGCTTGATCTATAGTAGAATTCATTATTGCTTTTCCCGTGGACGTAGGTCACTACGACTCAACCATGTAAATTTAGTGTCTGATTTATTTTCTTGTTCTATCTATTTTATTGACCAATCGCTTGTTTTTGCAACAATTGGTATCAAAGCCTAGAATTGGCTGAGTTGAAGTGAATCGATAGCGAAAGAAGAAGGAAAAGTGAGAATCGACAGATTTGATGGAAGGATTTTGGTTTCTAGAAGATGTAGCTTGAGGATTATCTGTATGAAAGGAAAATGCACTTCTCCTTGTATGGGGAGAAGCTAGAAACGATGAAGTAAACTGATTGGGAATTGCTGGATAGATGAATCTTGTGTGTTATTCGGCTGACGTTAGCTTATAACGTCGCATTTAACATCGTAAAAGAGACGACCACTGCCGGTTTGATGAAAATTCTATCGGACATGTACGAGAAGCCCTCTATGATCAACAAGGTTTATTTGATGTAACATCTGTTTAACTTGAAAATGAGCAAATGTTCGTCAGTTGCTGATCATATTAATGAATTCAATGTGATTGTTAGTCAATTAAGTTAAGTTGAGATTGACTTTAAAGATGAGGTACATGCTTTGATTCTATTATCCTCATCACCTGATAGTTAGAATATTATTGTTACTGTTGTTAGTAATTTCTCTAGATCAACAAGTTTGACGTCTGATAGACGTTTGATAGGGTTCATGATTTAATTTTGAGTGAAGACATCTATAAAAGAGAATCTGATGAACCTATATTTGTTGCTTTAGTAGGTGAAAATAGAGGAAGAACTGATACTCGTGTTAGCAGAAATAATATAAACTCGAATAGACGTAATTAGTCTAGGACTGGTGGTGCTGTTTGTTAGAGTTGTGGTACGAGGGGGCATGTGACATTCTCAAATTTCAACCTTATTCTGAATATAATAAATGGTTATTTCGTCAATGCGCAATGAGCAGAATTAGACTCTGAATTGATTCCATAATCATTCAAGAGTATTCCAAGCTTTAGGAAAGGCAATTTAGGACTTCGATGCGCGCGACCAAAGAACTCAATCATGGATTGACAATTAGGCCATAAGGATCGATGAGGGATAATCATAAGCCATTTCAAGTCGATCCAGAAACGGTTATAGCTCGATTCGGCAATAGTATAGAATCGGTTTGTGGGTGGTTCCGCGTGATTGCTGTATTAGTTCTGAACGACACTAGACCAATCCCTAATGATCGTATACTTCGAAACGGACTATTGACCCCTCTCGATTACATGACAACCGAAGGTCATCCATGAATTGAAAAGGCTTAAACGTGGATTAATTTAGAGTCAATTACGGGTTAAACGCACGAAACCCCTAAAAGCTGCCCATTGTTCTAATTATGCAAAAGACCCATTTGAGAGATTTTAATCACGAATTCTAATCCAGTTGAGGATATCGAACTCTAGAGGATTAAGAGACGACTATTGGACAATCTTAGGGGATCACCTATTAATCGATAAATTGCAAAACATTGGAAAAGTAAAATTCGGGCTGGAAATTGGGGCCCATAAATTTTTAAAGGTCCAATGGGCCTCATGGACTCAATAGTCGGCCACAAGGGTCCAAGTTACAGGAAATTACGATTTTGCCCTTTTGGGCCCAAATTGAGTAATTTTGAGAAATTTATGCAAGAAAAACCCGAGACGAGAAGCCCGCAAGGAACTAAGCCCAATGACGGGGCCCAAGGAAGAGTTCGGCCAAAGAAAAGAGGAGAAATGGGCTTGGCCCAAGTTTAGGCCCATTCTAAAACCTTTTAGGACTTAAATAGTGTCTTTGAGTGAAAAGACCTTTTTACCCCCCAATCCTTTTTTGGATTCCTTTAGTTTGTTGAAGGGCAAAATGGTCTTTCTACCCCTCAAGAGTTAGCTGGCCACATGGGAGGGTAAAATGACTAAAATACCCCTCTTATCTTGTCTTTATTCCATTTTTTACGCTTGGATATTTGTGAAACTTGAATTGCAAGAACAAATCCTAGCCATTGATTCTGCCTTGTTGAGCAAGGGATGATCTTGGCCATCCATCCTTGGGGTAACTTGCAAGACAACTTTCTCTCCCCTCCTTATATCTCATTTTTTGTTCTTTTCTCTCTCTCTCCCTCTCGCTCATCACTGCCGACCACCCTTCCTCTCTTTCCCCTTGTTGTTTCGATCACCTCACCACCACCATCGCTGTGCGTCCCCGCCTTGCTGCCGTGACCGTCGCCACCGTCCGTTTGCCGCTCCTCATTCGTGGCTCACCGCCGCTTAGATTTTCCTTTGGTTTAAGAGTAAGTTTACTCTCTAAACCTTGATTAGGTCATTAGGTTTGCTAATGGTTTAGTTTAGAGCTAACTAGGTGGTTTAGTGGATAAGTTATCTTAAGATTAGTTGATAGCTTATCTTGGTAATTGATAACTTATCTCATGCTTTAGGTGATAGCCTATCTAGTGTAGTTGATAACTTATCTAGACTTATGTGATAACTTATCAAGAAAATGGTGATAGCTTATCAAGGAAATTTTGATAACTTGTCAAGAAAATGATAATAGCTTATCAAGAAAATAGTGATAGCTTATCTTGAAATAAGTAGATAACTTATCACATTGAGTAGACTACTTATCATGAGTTAATTGATAACTTGTTTTGATTAATGAGATGTGTGTTGAAAAAAGGATGAGTTTATGTTGAAAAATGCCTTGATTAAATGGCAATCTTTGGTATGCTTAAGTTTAATCGGAAATTGAATGGACAATGTTATTGGTGTTGATACATGAGTGCATTTTCGTGGTAGCTTTGTGCGTAAAGAATTGCACGTCATGAACACTTGACATGACTAATTTCCAAAGATAATAAATGGGCTTGAGTGGTTGCTGTGCATGCATGGTCACATAAAGGTTCCGTCTATACTCGGTAGTTTCCAGGGGACGATGCCTGATGGATTTTGGATGCCGTCTGATGCCGCATGTAGCGGGGGGTTCAGACGATGCCGAGTCGCAGTGGAGTCCGAACCAATGCTTCTTTTTGAAATGCCATCTGATGCCGCAGTGGCGGGGGTTCAAGACATTGTCATGCCCGACGAAGCGGGACGATGCTCGGTTATACCGGAAGACATCGGCGGGGGTTCGGTTGTGGCCCTGAGCGGTCGTTTAATAATATGGACAATTACGAGTGTAATGTGCATGGATGAGTGTAATGTGCATGGATGAGTGCAATGTGCCTGAAAGTGATATTTGATCATGTTTGGATTATTAAACTGAAATTGTGCATGATTATGCAATATGATACTCTTGATTGTGCCTCCGGAGCAAGTGATTTAATGTGGTCTATTTATATGCTCGTTGGAGCGAATGTTGTTATATGATGGTTAGAAAAGGGTGAGTGAATTGCTTCATGTGAATAGTTAAGGCAAAGCAAAGGCTTTGCTATTGATCTGCCATCGATAGTGACTTGCACGTTTAGGGCAACGTACTCTCCTAAACGAGGTTTAGGGAGCTTATTTGCTGAGTTTATCTTATTATTGTTTATTTAACTATTTTCAAACCCCCAGTTATGAGTCAGCATCCTATGCGGTTCGGGGTGCCCATGGATATGGGCACGATAGTGATTGAGCATCCGGTTGGACCGGATAGAGCCTTTCAGAGTCATTTGACGACTGTTTGGGTCGACGAAGGGTTGGCTATGTGGGTATTGCATAAGTTCATAGCCTGGTTTGTTAGGGAGGGAGATGAACTCTTTGGTCCTATTGGGGGATTCGACGGGCACCCTAGTGGAGGTACTAGCGAGGAGGTCTGGGACTCGATAGACCTCGACCCTCTTGATGGAGATGTCTTTGATCCGAAGACTAATCCGGATGCTGAGAAGTCTGATCCGGAGTGTCCTCCTAAGTATTACCAGCTTTGGTGATGGGCTTAGGATGCCCCACCTTTTTGACCACCCCTTTTTGGATAAAGGAGCCTAGGTTGATCTGACTGATTGCCCCTTTTTGTATGATCGATCATTGAGAAAGCCGCCCTGGATGGGTTTGTAAAGTGTAGCTTCTCAAGATTAACTGATGTTTATAAAATGGCTTACTGGTTTTTTTTTATGTTAATGAGTTTTCCTAGCTATTTCCCTTACTGTTATGCGATTGGGAGTATGTACGTTTTCGCTTGCGTCTAATAAGATAAAAGAATGGGTCGGTGACGCATCTTGGGACGTCGCAACATAACGACCGAAGAGGGATGTTAGCGTTCCCGAGGGAACAGGGCGTGACAGGGCATCTTAGAAGGGATTGCTTTAAACTGAA